AGCATTCTCTGCATTTCACTGCAACAATTCCAGTACGGTACCGAGCTTTATGTTTCCATCTTCGCAATTGGGGTACAACCCTTTTTTGTGATCCTCTCACATGCAATCAAACTTCAGCTTCTCCTTTTGACTTTCGCATTGTGTCCTTGCATCGACAATGACCCGGCGGAGATCATCATCATCGGGCACATTGTCTGGTTCCTCTTGATCTTCAGCAGCTTCGCCCGTTGTAGCAGCATCATGCACATCATCTGGTTCCTCTTGATGTTCAGTAGCATCACCGTATTCAGGGGGCACATAGCTGTCATCATACTCTTCTTCTTCGCCGTCTTCCATCATAACCCCTATTTCTCCGTGCCTCGTCCAAACATTATAGTGTGGCATGAAACCCTTGTAAAGCAGGTGGGTGTGAAGGATTTTCCGGTCAGAGTAAGACTTCGTATTCCCACATACAGGGCATGGACAACACATAAAACCATTCTGCTTGTTTGCCTCAGCCACTTCGAGAAAATCATGCACGCCCTTAATGTACTCGGAGGTGTGTCTGTCACCGTACATCCATTGCCGGTTCATCTGCGTGCATTATATATAATTAAGTGTGTCAAAAATCATTACAAAACATCATGAATAGATAATTAAGTGACCAAATTAATAGAAGTTCATCATCACATTAAAACCAAAGTACATACATAGTTCTCATCTAACAACATAAACCTCTGCAGAGCATCTAAATTAATTAAACCATACATTGAAACTATGTAAAACATTTCAATGCGAAAACAAATGCGATCATAATCGCAACCAAGGTAACAACTGATCCAACGACATAATGATACCAAGCCTCGGTATGAATGTCATATTTTCTAATCTTTCTAATCTTCAAGCGCATTGCATCCATCTTGATCTTGTGATCATCGACGACATCCGCAACATGCAACTCCAATATCATCTTCTCCTCCTCAATTTTTCTTATTTTTTACTTCAAGAAATTGTTTTCTTCTTCAACTAAATTTAACCTCTCGACAATAGGGTCGGTTGGAATTTCCGGTTCAAGAACCTCCTAGATAAATAAAATATATGTCACGTTGGTCGGCATAATTTTCATAAACAATAAATGAACCAATAGTTATGAACAGATAATATATACCACATCCGAATCATAGACAGGACGAGGGCCGACGGGGGCGGATACCAAAACTATCGCACTATATAAGATGCAATAATACAAGTAAAAAAATAATACAAGTATCTATCTAAACATACAAGTAAGAATATTTTTCCTTTCAGAAAGAAGATAAGAACAAGAGGCTCACCACGGTGGTGCCGGCAATGAGATCGGCGCGGGTGATCGACGGCGGTGAAGACGGGGATGTGGCGTGACGGACCGCTATACCTAGAAAAATATTGAGGAAAATGAAGCTTGGATGTCGAGCTTGAAGAGGAGAAAGCTTAAGTAGTGTGGCTCGGGCATTCCATCGAACACCTTGTGTGCATAGGAGGTGAGCTAGAACACCACCAAGCCCTCTCCCCCTCGGCTGCCAGAAAAAACAGAGCAGTGTGCTCTGCTCTTACGTGAGGGGGTATATATCGGCACCTCATTGGTCCCGGTTGGTGGCATGAACCGGGACTAAAGGGCAGCCTTTGGTCCCGGTTTGAGCCACCAATCGGGACCAATGATGGTGGGCCAGGAGCAAGGCCCATTGATCCCGGTTCGTTCCACCAACCGGGACCAAATGGTCCAGACGAACCGGGACCAATGGCCCACGTGGCCCGGCCGGCCCCCGGGCGCACGAACCGGGTCCAATGCCCCCATGGGTCCCGGTTCTTGACTGAACCGGGACTAATGGGCTGACCCGGCCTGGACCTTTGTTTCTACTAGTGTAAGAGCAAGGTTAATACTATGTCCAAAAACTGGATATACAAGACTGCCATGTCATCGAGAGTTAGCAATACCATTCACTCATACAATATGGTTGACTATTCGTTAATACTTTTTTCTACCTTCTCTCTTTCTCTTTCTTCACACCTATTGTATTTTCTTAGAAGTACATACATAGCTTTACTCGTGCATGAGATCTTATTCCCCTTACTTTTTCATATATATCTCCTCCACATAGACAAAAGTTCCATCTAAGCGTAGCGTCATCCAGTCCGCCCCGATGGGAACGGGTTCATGACGGTTGTGACCGGGGGCGTGGTCGCGATGGGCCTGGGGACGGCCGTGGCCGTGGGTGCGACAGACATGACTCCAGCGATGACAGTGTAGATGATGGGGCAACATCCGTAGGCGCAGCGGTTGCCCCATTGGGACGACGTTCGTGGGCGCGGTAGCGGCCCCCATTAGGCTTTGTTCGGTTAATCCTCTCTCCAAGAGGATTGGAGGGGATTGGCAGGGATTGGTTCATATTTTGACTTAGAAGAGGTTTAAATCCCCCTCAAACCCCTTCAATCCACTCGGATTCACCCGCAACCGAACAAGGCCTTAGGGATGATGTTGGCGGTGGCGCTCGTGGTCTCAATGGCAGCTGCGAGGGTTGGATCCATGGCGGCACGGCTGCGAGGAGGAGGAGAAGAGGCGACGCATGGGCGACAGTTGAGTAGGGAGACGAGAGAGGGACAATGGTGGAGGAGGGAGAGGAGGGCCACAAGGTTAGTGCCCAGGAGCTCCGCAGCGGTTACGAGGGTTCGATCCATGGCGGCACGACGGGAAGGAGGGGGAGGAGATGGTCCGGCGACCGCGGTGGAGGAGGGAGACAAGGGAGGGACATCGATGGAGGAGGGAGAGGAGGGCAACAAGGTGCAGAGTGGGCGATTAAGCCGGGCCGCACCCACGTTTTATGGCAGAGGGGTAGACAAAGTGGAAGCGTTGTGCCGAGTTCCCTATGGAGGGAACTCGACAAAGGAAGCCCAACCATCATATTTCCGTTGTCTTGCCTCGTGGTGGGTGCCCCTATAAGGCCTTTGCCAAGCTCCGGTGTTATGGTGCTTGGCAAAGATTTGACCCAGATATTGTTTTCGAGAACTTTTACTTGTTTGTTTCTTTTATTAACTTATTTTAATGATTGAAGAAAATAAACAAAAAATAAACAAATAAAATATGAAAGAAATAGGAAAACTCAAAAATTGCAATAGATGTCATAATGTTTTTCAGAAGAGTTTCTTTAGTTGTTTGTCCTTTCCTTTTTGATTACTTTCTTCCTTCTTTGTTTTTCTGCTGGAACCAACGATGCGGCGTGCTCGAACCAGCCTCATTTTTTGCTACATCCATTCATGACAGAGCTACGACCCACGACGGTGGAGACGAGGTTTTTGCTGCAATCGTCATCAGTTTTTGCTACGAGCGGCGAGAAAATTTGCTTCATCCAATCATGGCAGAGATGCGGACAGCGACGACGATGTTTTTTTTGCTACCACTGGTGTTTTTTTTTTTGCTACAACCATATTGCTTTTGTGCTACAACGAGCCTCTCATCTTTCTACAACCCACCCCGGGCGTTGAAACATTGCTACAACCGTGTCGTTTTTCTGCTACAATCAGCACCTCGTTTTGAGACTAGCCATCACCAGCGTCAACCTGGTGCTACAACCGCGACGGTTTTTGCTTCAACCCACAACCGCAAAAGCTACTAACTGGTCAGCGTTTTTTGCTACGATGGGTGGGGGTGGCTGCACCGGCGAGCTCTTTTTGGTTGGAAGAAGCATGTTTTTTTTGCTACGATCTGCGAACAATTTTGCTGCTACTGGCTCCCCGAGGGAGAGCACACTTCCGCGAGCTCGTCGCCGGGTTGCCGCGACCGGCGAAGGCACCATCGGAGCTGTTGCATCGCACCGGAGCTTCGACCATCACCATGGGGAGCTACAACTACGAGTGCATGCTGCTAGACATGCATAGCCAGCAAGAAATGCAGAAGATGACGACGGCGAGGGGCGATGACCGGTGGCGAGGGGGGCGAGATGCGTCTTGGCAGTCTTTCGAGGCAGGCCGTGTCGCTCGTCTGCAGCAGTGTGATTGGGGTTTTCTTGAGAGAAAAAGACGCCAGGGATGGAAGAAAGGGGATCTCGTCGGTGCGTACGTCGTCTGATTTGTACTAAATCAGGTGGTCAGGGACCGATCGGCCAAAATTTCGGCCGGTGCGCCGGCTCCTATCAATGCCCTATATACAACAGGTCATAGGAAACATGGAAAACTCCAATCTGATCATCTCGTCTGTCACCGTACGGCAAAGTCTAGTAGAAGAACTCGTCTTCGTCTCCCGCCGGTCCACGTACGCGTCTGCTGGAGAATGACAACTGCGTGTTTGCATTCTCACGCAAAGTCACCCAATTGATACGGAAATTAGTCTCAGTAATAAGTAGTACTATTATCTAGACCCAATTCCACCCATTGCTTTCAGTAGGTAAGTTCGTTGAATGAGCGACCAAGCCCCGCTAGCCACACCACACCATTGATTTTTATTCACCCACCATTGATCCCGTGACATAACCATGCCTTTCAGTAGACACTGGCAAGAGAGTTTTCTCTTGATAACTCCCGATAAGTAACATAAACAGAGGATTTACTATTACACTGTTTTGACCGGAAAATTGTCTTTTTTAAAAAGAAGTCAAAGGGTGATTTTATTTTTGTGAATTTACCTCACAAGTATAATAGAAGGTCAAGTTTATTTCAAAAATATTTTCAGATTTTTTTGAATTTTTTGAATTGCTAATTTATTTTTCATATACGGTGTATATACACCCAGGAACCAAACGTTCCCGTCCCGAATTAGTCTCTCTCAGTATACTAGACTCGATGCCTTTCAGTCGGTAGGTTCGTGGAACGAGCGACCATTGATTTTTATTCCCCCACCATTGATCCCGTGACATAACCATGCCTTTCAGTACACATTGGCAAGAGAGAGTTTTCGCTTGATAACTCCCAAGAAGTACACAAACAAAGAGACAGAGGCTTTCTTGCGCCACCGCAACGTCCGATCGAGCAAGCAAACGGATGCACAAGCCATGCCTCTCCAGCTCTTCCACTTGGCCACCCTGTTCCTTCTCCTCGCGGCCACCGTCTGTGCCGACGACGGTCGGCAGTTCGCCTACAATGGCTTTGCGGGCAGGAGCCTCGACCTCGACGGCGCGGCCGAGGTCACGCCCAGCGGCCTCCTCATGCTGACCAATGGCACTATCCAGCAGAAAGGCCACGCCTTCCACCCGTCCCCGGTGCCGCTCCGCGCCGCGCGCTCCTTCTCGACGGCCTTCGTCTTCGCCATCTTCGGGCAGTACATTGACCTCAGCAGCCCCGGCATGGCCTTCTTCGTCACCACGTCCAAGGAGGTGCTCGCCACCGCGCTGCCGGGCCAGTTCCTCGGCCTCCTCAACGCCACCAACAACACCAACCCCAACGCCCACATCTTCGCCGTGGAGCTCGACACCCTCCTCAACTCCGAGTGCCGGGACATGAATAGCAACCACGTCGGCGTCGACGTCGACAGCATGGTGTCGCGAGCATCCGCCGACGCCGGCTACTACGACGACGCCACGGGCCGGTTCCAGAACCTGAGCCTGATCAGCAGGCAGGCGATGCAGGTCTGGGTGGACTACGATGGCGCGGCAGCCGAGATCACGGTGACCATGGCTCCCCTGGGCGTCGCCAGGCCCAAGACGCCCCTGCTGCGGACCGCCGTGAACCTCTCGGCCGTGGTGCAGCACCAGGACACGGCGTACGTCGGGTTCTCGTCGGCCACCGGAATCCTCTTTGCGCGCCACTTCGTCGTCGGTTGGAGCTTCGCGCTGGACGGGCCGGCGCCGACGCTGAACATCTCCTCCTTGCCCGCCCTGCCGCCCACCGGGCCCAAGCCACGGTCCAGGGTGCTGGAGATCGTGCTGCCCATAGCGTCGGCGACGGTGGTTCTGGCCGTCGGCATCGCCGCTTACATCTTAGTCCGACGGCGACTCAGGTACGCGGAGGTCCGGGAGGACTGGGAGGTCGCCTTCGGACCCCAGCCCTTCTCCTACAAGGACCTGTACCAGGCGACCAAGGGGTTCAGCGAGACCAACCTCCTCGGCGCGGGAGGCTTTGGAAGCGTCTACAAGGGCGTGCTCCGCAAGCCCGACATGGACACGGAGGTGGCCGTCAAGCGGGTGTCGCACCAGTCGAGGCAGGGGATGAAGGAGTTCGTCGCGGAGGTCGCGAGCATGCGCCGGCTGCACCACCGCAACCTCGTGCAGCTGCTCGGCTATTGCCGGCGAAAGGGGGAGCTTCTCTTGGTCTACGATCACATGCCAAATGGCAGCCTAGACAAATACCTCCATGATCCCAGCCCTGGCAAGGCTACATTGGAGTGGCCTCAGAGGTTGCACATCATCAGGGGAGTGGCTTCAGGGTTATCCTACCTCCATGAGGGTTGGGAGCAGATCGTCATCCATCGAGACGTCAAGGCAAGCAACGTGCTCTTGGATGGCGAGATGAACGGGCGGCTAGGGGATTTCGGCCTAGCAAGGCTCTACGACCATGGGTCCGATGCGCGGACCACACACGTGGTCGGCACCATGGGCTACCTAGCCCCTGAACTAGGACACACCGGCAAGGCAACCCCGGCTACCGATGTCTTCGCCTTCGGTGCGTTCCTCCTGGAGGTCACCTGTGGGCGGAGGCCGATCGAGGAAGACGAGGAAAACAACCGCGTCATGCTCGTGGACTGGGTTGCCGAACATTGGCGTCAGGGTTGCATCACTAAGGCGGCAGACATTAGGATGCCAAACAGCTTGGGTCTTGACCAGGTCTCTCTAGTCCTAAAACTCGGGCTTTTGTGCTCCCATCCTTTGCCCAACGCAAGGCCAACCATACGACAAGTCATGCAGTACCTCGATGGCGACATGCCCCTCCCGGAGTTTTCACCAGAGTACCTCGGCTCAACCATGCTGGAGCAGATGTACAGCGCGGAGTTTTTTAACAAGAATGCAATGTCATACGTGTCATTGGGTGTCATTTCCGATCTCTCCGGAGGAAGGTGACAAAGGTGAATGCCGTGCCAAAATAACTGATGAGTTGGACTTCTAATACTTGTATATCCCTGTAAGACGTAACTAGCACTACTTAGTAGAAGTTTGTTTGATGTTTTGATATTTAATTTTGAATGATTGTAATGGTTTACTTTCTTTTTGCAGATGCATCTTTATAACAAACAGGTGTATCATGCATGCTACCTGCTTATGATAGGCGTTTCTTAACAGATTCATGTTTATGCATAGTAGATGTGCATGTATTAGTACTTCTTGTATGTTTCCAGTGAGATCAGGACTCTTTTCAATAGAATATTTTCTTTGTCGCTAGCAATGTGCTACCTATCAGATCAGAACTTTGAATCCCTTACTTTTCTACGTTCCTACTTTGATTTCAACATCTGACGAGGACTATTTCATTTATCTATTTTGATTGATGTTAATATGTTGCCTCAAACAATGATCGTTCGTCAACAGTACTAGAGCTATGACTTTTAGCCACTACATAAGGTGGTTGGTTGCTAAAAGTCCAAACATGATTACTACCAACACTACTTGGTCTCTTCATGGCGGCTATAGCATAGTCTCTACAGATATTTGGGGACCACCATTGTGATTACTAGTCATATCAATAGCTACCGACTACAGCTTGCTGAGACTAAGTGAAAGCAATAGCTACTACCAAGCAAATGGTGGTGAAGACCAAGCGACACTTGGTAGCTTAGCCACCATGCACATGTTTGGTGACCAGATAGACATATTGCAAGAAATGAATGGTTGGTGACTAAAAATTTAAACCGTGCAATGTTCAATGAGGGATCTCCGGCCTCCCTCCTCAAAGGGCTCGGTTCCTTATGCACCCTCACGGCTTGATTCATTTGGAAACATCGCAACGCTGTCATCTTCGACGGATTGCATCCTTCTACTACAGTTCTAGTTCACATCATTCAGTACGAGACCTGCTGCTGGACCAAGGCTGGTGCTAAAGGGTTGGACATGTGTACTTCAAAAAAAAAGGGTTGGACATGTTGCTCCCTCTAAATCACTAGACTGTAATTGGGCTGAGCAACCCCTCTTCTTCTGCTCCCTGTTGAATTTACATGGCATTAGCTGTGTACGCTAATGGATTTCCAACCAACCTGTAAAGTTTTTTCTTTCTATCAATGCAATGATATGCTACTCAGTGTATTCGTTAAAAATAGACAGCTTTGAAACATAACATACTTACAAGCATTGGTGACTAAAGTCATGAAAAACATATTAAAATATTGTTATCATATACACACTGACATTTGCACCATGCGAGAAATCTTACAATTACAGACATCCACGTCACATATAGACAAATTGGAGTTATGCCCCAAAAATTAACAATTTTGTAATATATTACATCTTTTTCTTTCCCCTCTCGCAAGAAAACTAGGGAAAACCTTCCTCCCTTCTATTTCGCCGGCGAGCCCGTGGATTCGCCACCCCTCCGCCTGTCGCTCCAGCGGCCGGTGCTGAGATTCTGATCAAGGAAGACGAGGGGAACAACCATGTCATGCTTGTGGACTGCGTTGCCGAACATTGGCGTCAGGGTTGCATCACTAAGTCGGCAGACATTAGGATGCCAAGCTTTAGTCTTGACCATGACTCTCTAGTGCTTGAACTCGGGCTTCGGTGCTCCCATCCTTTGCCCAATGCAAGGCCAACCATACGGCTAGTCGCACAGTACCTCGACGGCGACGTGCCGCTCCCAGAGTTTTCACCAGAGTACCTAGGCTCAACCATGTTGGAGCTGATGTATAGTGCGGAGGTCATCTCCGATCTCTCCGGAGGAAGGTGACAAAGGTGCATGACGTGGCAAAATATTTGAGTTGGACTTCTAATACTTGTGTATCCTTTTAAGACATAACTGTCACCACTTTGTAGAAGATTGTTTGATGTTTTGATATTTAATTTCGAATGATTGTAATGGTTTGCTCTCTTTTCATACAGATCTGTCTTTATAACAAACAGGTGTATCATGCTACCTGCTTATGATACATGTTTCTTAACTGATTCATGTTTATCCATGGTAGATGTGCATGTATTAGTACTTCTTGTACGTTTCTAGTGAGATCGGGACTCTTTTCAATAGAATATTTTCTTTGTCGCTAGCGATGTGTTACCTATCAGATCAGAACTTTGAATCCCTTACTTTCTATGTTCCTACTTTGATTTCAACATCTGACGAGGACTATTTCATTTATCTATTTTGATTGATGTTAATATGTTGTATCAAGCAATGATCGTTCATCAACACTACTAGAGCTATGACTTTTGACCACTATATAAGGTGGTTGGTTGCTAAAAGTCCAAACGTGGTTACTACCAACACTACTTGGTCTCTTCATGGCGGCTATAGCATAGTCTCTACAGATATTTGGGGACCACCATTGTGATTACTTTGAAACTAAAAGTCATATCAATAGCTACTGACTACAGCTTGGTGAGACTATGTGAAAGCAATAGCTGCGCAGCAAATGGTGGTGACTAATACTCCCTCCGTCCGCGAATAAGTGTACATCTAGCTTTTGTTCTATGTCAAAGTTTTAAAATTTTAACCAATTTTCTAAAAAATAGTAGTAACATATATGACATCAAATTGATATATTATCAGAATACATTTCATGATGAATCTAGTGATACTAATTTGAAGTCATCAATGCTTTTACTTTTTCCTAAAAAGGTGGTCAAAGTTTTAAATCTTTGACTTAAAACAAAAGCTAGAAGTACACTTATTCGCGGACGGAGGGAGTAGCTCCGAGCTGTGACCAAGGGGCACTTGGTAGCTTAGCCACCATGCACATGTTCGGTGACTAGACAGACATCTTGCAAGAAATGAATGCTTGGTGACTAGAAATTTAAACCGTGCAATGTTCAATGAGGGGTCTCCGGCCTCCCTCCGCAGAGGGCTCGGTTCCTTATGCACCCTCACGGTTTGGTTCATCTGGAAACACCACAACACTTTCATCTTCAACGGATTGCATCCTTTTACTACAGTTCTAGTTTGCACTATCCAGGATGAGACCTGCTGCTGGACCAAGGCTGGTGCTAAAGGGTTGGACGCATTGCTCCCTGTAAATCACTAGACTGTATTTGGGCCGAGCAACACCTCTTCTTCTGCTCCCTGTTGGATTTACATGGCATCAGCTGTGTACGCTAATGGATCTCCAACCAACCATATAATGTTCTTTCCTTCTATCAATGCAATGATGCGCTGCTCAGCGTATTCGCAAAAAAATAGACAACTTTGAAACAGAACATACTTATAACCCTTGGTGACTAAAGTCTTGACAAACATATTAAAATAGCATTACAATACACACACTGATATTTGCACCATGTGAGAAATCTTACAATTACAGACATCCACATCACATGTAGACGAATTGGAGTTATGCCCCTGAAATTAATAATTTTGTAATATATTACAACCTTTTCTTTCCCCTCTGGCAAGGCGACTAGGGAAAGCCTTCGTCCCTTCAATTCCGCCTGTGAGCCCGTGGATTCGCCACCCCTCCGCCTGCCGCTCCGGCGGTCGGTGGCTGGGAGGTTATTCTTGGTGCCTCGGCTTAAATAGATAGGAATTTTAGTCTTCGTAAGGGCGGTGCGGCGGGCGGCGCTTCTTCTTCGAGTCAGTCTTCCGGACTCCAATTCTCCTCAAGTTCGTTCGTCGGGACGGATTAGACGGAGCTCCGGCGAAGATTCCTCCCAGCTCCTTAAAGCGGCGAGATTAGGGTTTCTCAACGTGCGTACGCAATGGTGAGATTTGGTGTCAGCTTCTTCATATCGGTTTAAGGATTCAACAAAGACGACCGCGGCTCCGGGACGCCGGTCCTTAGGGGCACGTGCACAAGGACTTCCTAGGTGTCATCGACAGGATAGGCTGTCTCCGGTATAGCAGCGGTGGCAACGTCGCGTCAGCGACTCGTTCTGGCGACGACAATAGTCATTCGGTTGTTCATTGACCTTGATGTAAATTTTATTATGTCCACAAAAAAGTATTAACAATTTTGTAGAGAGAACGCAGAATAAATTGGACTAGATTCATTTCTGCTAGATAAAAAACTGCAAGATATTTCATCAATGGTGAACAGCTATAGTAGTTGTCCTCTTGCAGGCAGCATCAAAAGATCAACGCGTGTTTTCTATGACCTGCCATGCATCGTTTTCTTACCATGCCCACGCACTGACAGCGAGCTCACCCAGCAGTGCAGGGCACGGCGACCGCCCAGCTCACATGATATACTAGTAAACAAGATTTGTTTTTATTTTTGAAACAGGAGACGGGCCCCGAAGGACTCTACTACTATCTCCGTTATGATTTATTAGTCCTCATCGTATTTAAGATCATATTTTAATCATGATTTTTTTGCGGGTTTAATCATGATTTTAATTAATATAAAATATAAGTCACACGTAGTAAAAACTATATCATCCGAAACTATGTTCAAATGGGAATACAACGATATAATTTTTCGTGACATGCATTGACACTTTGTTAGTTAATTTTATAGTCAAAATTTGACATAAAACACGAAGAAGACTTAAATCAGGATGGAGGTGCTATACTAAACAAGTCGAACGGGCAGTTGAAAAGGTGGAAATCTCTGATGGTAACAGCAAGCGATCGCAGAATTGTATGTGGCCTGCAAGGGTGCCGTATCATCTAAGCAAGACAATTTCGTATTCTTTTGCTGAAGGAGGACTAGTCTTATGCTGACATATTCAAGATCCATCCATAGCCGTTGGAGTAGCATATATAGTAGACCAGTACGTCCTTGTCATATCTGTATATCTGACTTTCAGCATGCTCAATGGCGCATTCATACACCAACTGCACAACCACCATCTGTGTTGTGCACAACCTGCACACCATTAAAGCCTGGCGCATGATCACAAACGAAGCAAATTTTGGTTAGCCTATGATTTGGTCATACTCCTGAGTTGTGTCCAAGCTTGGCGGCATAGGCCTGATTCCCGTT